ATGTTAACACATTGTAAATGGGATGACTGCATTTGTCTCAAATGTCAAAATAATTGGTAACATTTAATTTTTTTAAATAATTTACCGCAGCTAGTTGTTTTGCGTTAAAATAAACATTTGGGTAAAAAAAAATTCACATTTATGTTTATTGTGAAGTAGGTCTTAAATTTCATTTCAAATGGCATTAAAAAGCATTAAAAAGTCTTAAATTTAACTTGCTTTAAGCTGTAGGAATCCTGGTGAGTGAAATCTGTTTGTGTGTGTTGTCTTTGCCATGTGGTTGTACATCACACTGTAGGATCAAACCTGTTATATCTATGATTTTTATTATTATTATTTTTTACGTGTGAGGTCTCTCAGGTTTTGAAAACCAACCGATAACTTTAAAATCTTGCCATGTGAACCAGGCGTGAGTCTAGAAGCACGACGGGCTGTACCTGTGAGCTGAGCGGACACTCCTGCRTGAGGACTCTGGTCCAGTCTGGCTGGGACCCTGAGTTCATGGCGATTACGTCAGGAGCCACGGGTCCTTGCAAAACCCCATAAATCTGCGACCGCAGCTCAGTGCAGTTACTCGTAGAAGAACTAGGAGACACGCGGGAAGAATTGAATGAAAAACATTTTAATCTTGGATAGCAGGATGGATTTATTATTATTATTATTTATTAATAAAACTGAAACAAGATGGCGTCGACTCACGCAAACGTGCAGCCGTTGATGCTGTTGTGGGAGAAGAGGATGGGCGCTCGCCCAGTTGGATCAGAGGAACACTCTCCACCTCGTGACAGTCCAAGTGATGTCAGCTGGCTCGCTGTTAAGAAACCGCGCTGCKGTGCTGGTGCAAAAACATATCGGCTAAATCAAATTACAGCTTCTACGACTTTGCTATCGAGGATACGGGCTGCACGTCTCCATTGAAGCGAGCAATGACAGGAGATCCCACTCGAAGTCCAACAGAAGGTATTAATATTCCTGGCATGGGGCTGGATGGGATTAGCTGCAACACATTTGTGACTCTTGTTTAAATAAATATTTTAAGTGATTCAAGCATAGCATTTAGCAAGTTTTAACCTACCTGAAAATGTACAGAATGRGTCTGTGATAACAGCTGGTCGAAAGTCAAATCAGTCAATTCAATGTTGATTGTTCCGTTCAAGAGTTCGCCCCTGCCCGTGTAACCGATTCTAAACTCAACCTGCAGGAAAATCACAGCTTAATTCAAATTTATAATGGATTAAAAGACTTTTCGTTTGAAACATCTTTGTTTAGGTTACCTTTTTGACTACGTTTAAACAGGAGTTGTTTTGCGTGACTGGTGAAGGCCACTCAGCCTGTGGAGTCACTGGGATCTGAAAAAAAAAACAGGTTTTAAGATTTTAAAGCTCATTCAATATGTTTTACTGCAGAGATGAGCAACATTTCGCTCTCATATTAACAACAGTGTAAAAAAAGAAACAAAGATCATGTTTAACTCAGACAAAACAGAAAAACACGAGAATTTAAACGTTTGCACAAATCTGTCCAATCTGAACAATCAGAGCCTGCAGCTTACCAGGAAATCTGACGGTATCACCGCCCCAGCTGTTGGAATCTGTAACAAAAAAAAAATGTCTGCTGTAAGACGACCGGCAGTAATGATTCACTTCGAACTATCTCGCTCAAATCCTGACCTTTATCAGGTTCATGTCAGAGAAGTAGGAGCGAGCACCGAGACTTGGGTCAGTGGCACAGGACTGAGGCATCACCACACGGGTACAGGACAGAGACGAAGACCTGAGAAACTCTGAAAAGAGTAAAGACACAATAATGACAATGGAAGACTTTAGCAGGTAGCTGTGACAAAAATATAGACATCYTATTAGGGTTGGGCATAATGGTATCGTGTGCAATTAATCGTCAGAAAAACAATCAATTACTTTTTGGCATTTGACGATTAATACGATTAATGCCACCAGGCAGAGTCCGCTCGCTGCTCCTRTCAGCATCAAATATGATGAACATTAAAAATGAAGTTCTGTAATTTAGTTATCTATCAACACAATTTAAAATTTGATGTATAGCCTGAAGTCTGTAATTTTGACACAGGTTGGAACAATTTTTTTTACAAAGCTCAAATCTTTACCACTAAATTGGTCATGTGACTACGAAATAATTGTGTCCAGGGACTCCAGGGGATTAATCGTCAAATTAATCATAATCGGCTAAATACCGCAATTAATTTTGATTAATTTTTTTGCCAGTATTGCCCAACCCTACAACGTAAATTCTATAAACATGCAGTGCTGTGTTAATGTGTTCATCATATAAAAAATACATTACAAAAATGTAATAACAATAATGTTATTCTTTAGGACATTAGGTAAAGTTATAAAACATTGTTTCAGGTGTGTTTAATGAAAAAAAAGCACAATTTTAAGACAAAAACAAACTCCAACTGTTAAAAAGAGATGAATAACAAATGCTTTAAACTTATATTAAATTTACTGACAAGAATGAGTGGATTTTAGTAAATATCAATAAGATAAAACAAAGATCCTAAACATCCTTCATCTGCAAAGCTTCCAAGTTTATCATGACTTCACTTTTCTTTAGGCCTCTCCCTTTTAATGTGAACTCACTTGCAGGGTTACGGTTGAGGCAGAACGTCGAAGCAGCCCCTGGAGAAGGCAGACGGAGGAGACCCCGCACGGACGAATTGGAGAAAAACGTCTGGATAACATCATCAGCCTAGAAAGAACAAAGTGTTTTATTGATGAAAAACACACTGGGAGCTTTTAAAACTCAAAACATTTTCTTTTTTGACTACTAAATTTAAAAAAAAAAGGAACAGGTTGTTTACCCTGTAAAAGTTTCTGCTGTGTCTGGAGTACGTATGTCCGGCTGGTGAGAAGTGGTACGAGTCTCCTAAAGCTGGGATCTGCTGGAGGTCAGCGAGGGACTGGGGAGTCGTAACTGCTTGGAGAGTGAAACAAGGCAGAGAAATATTCGTAGGATACATTCTCATTGAGGCGCTCTTGAAGGAAACATCAGTAATTCTCTGGTTACCTTTGGGTCGGACACAAAACAAGGTGTCAGTCACAGTGATGAGAGACGAGTCAACGTTGGCTCTGAACATGAGCCATTTCTCAACGCAGACTCCTGTCCTGCACAACAAAAAACGATTCAAGATCTTTTAATTGCTAACGTGTGTGTGTGGACGGGTTTATCCTACAACGTGGGGTATTTTTCACCAAAAAAAGCAGCCAGGTGGGGACCGAAGTGAATCGTGGGGACC